CTAGATTTATTAATCATGTCTTGTACTATGCACATATTCTCTGCTGTTATCTGAGAAATTATTTCTGATTTCATTTTTCCCAGATCCTCTTTTGTTTTTGTTCAGGGAGTCCAGGTGGGGTTGCTGTAGGTGACATGGAAGTTTGGTTTTGAGGCCTGTTTATGTGTCTTCTCATTTTGACAGGGGAGGAGGGTGTGCTGCTGGTGCCTGTAGGGCTTACCTTCTCTGTGCTGGGAGCAGTGGCACGTTGACCCAGAAGCCTCCTCCTCTGTGCTGGGAGTAGTGGCAAGTCGACCCAGAAGCCTCCTCCTCTACGCTGGGAGCCTTTTAAAAAATTTTAAATAAGCACCATCTACTGTATTTAGATCACACTGGAATAAGTAAGCATTTTATGTTCACATCTCGCCATCTGCTGGCAGTGAAGTATTATAACAATTTTCCTCAAATTAACCACAAAGTCTTAGGGTGCTGGTTTGCTTACATTTTAATGGAAAATGCAAACAACAAAGAGAACTCAAGGACATGAGTCACGCTATTGATTTATTTTTTCAGTTGTGATTACCTCAGTGGACAGCACCTTCCCTGACCCTTTTCCTCCTTGCCCACCACCTCTGCATCTTCCATCTGTCTCTCCCTCCTCCAGTGCTGTGTCCTGCCTGCTCTCCAACTTCCATTCCCTCTACAGTGAACTGCTCCCTCTGTCTGCTCAGGCAGTTAAGGTCTTACCCGTCTCCTCCCTTCTGCTCTCCATCCCATCTTCATCTGCTCACAGTCACCTCCTCTTGGAACTGGGTCCTGACCAAACCCTTGGTCCCCCACTGACACCACCACACATCACACTGATCCTTACCAAATTACTTGTTTACTTTTGGGAGTCTCTTATTGAGCTGTTGAGCTCCCTATATACAGGGTGTGTGTCTTATTCATTTCTCCTTTCCACTCAGCTTGATATGTAGCACATAGTGGGTGCTCAGTAAATATCTCATGAAGGAACAAAGTGGAAAATAACTCAAAAAATATGGGGAAACTTTAAAGACAGGGTGTCTGGTGAGTCCTTTGGTATACTTCTACTGTTTGCCATCCCTACTGCATGACTGACTCCATTCCCAAAGTAATCAATATTTTCTTCATTCTTCTGTAAGAGTCCAACCCTGTATTGGGTGCTCTGGGGGTCCAGTTCAAATCTTAGAATGTAAATTATGGCTGGATTTGAATCCATGATCTACCACTTAGTAGGGAAGAAAGTTACTTAATGTTTTAAAATTTCTCCAGCTGCAAAATGAAGCTATTGAAGGTATCTCCCTCAAAATGATCTTTTGAAGAACAAAACAGTAATATGAATAAGGCAGAGAAAATAGGATTGTTTGTTGTTTTTGT